GACCCCCTCTCTCCGCACAGTTCTCAGACCCCCTCGCGTGTCCGAAAACTTACCTGAACACGACCCGAGCAGTCATGACCGTTGGTTTCGGATCATCCCCAAACGTCCCTAAAACATCTTCGGTATCTTATTTGGACGCCCATAGCCTAATTTTCTCGATCGTCTGATTTGAATCGGAGGGCCCAGATGCACCCCAAATCCACCTGCTATATAAATATCGGGGCAACCCTAGACCCTCGTCGTCCCATCCACCCAGTCCCATCCGCGCCGCCACCGCTCTCATTCTTCCCCTCGGGATCCATCCCCACCAAACGTAGCCTCCGACCAGATCCCTGGTTTTGCGCGCAGCCGCCCGAGCATCGCGGTGGATCAAGCGCTTCGCCTCCAAGCATAGCCTCCCCTGCTCAAGCCCCGAGCCTCACGTCGTCCAGGAGCACGAGCTCCATCGCCTCGCTACCGCCAACCGGAGCAGCAGCTCAGCCGGTCATCCCCGTCGTTGCCGAACCTCGCCACCTCGCCGGTGCCCCAAGACCCCGCGTCAAGCTCCTCTGCCCGTCGCCCCTCTCCTGCAGCCACGAGCGCCCTGAGCTCCATCTCGCGTGCCACCTCCTCGTCCCCGCGCAGCTCGGGGACTCCAAGCTCCATCGGTCCAGCCGTCCAGGAGGACGTCGACCCACGTCGCCGCGCGATGCTACTCCCGCGCCACTCGATCTTCGCCTCCCCTGCTTGCATCTCGCCAGAGCAGGCCACACCCAGTCGCTGGGAGCTTGCGCCAAGTCCGCCGTCGTCCTCTGCTCGAGAACAAGTTCGTGCCTCCAACTGCTTCGCCCCGAACCCAGACGCCCATCGCCGGAGGCCGCCGTCCCGCGCCTGGAGCCGCGCCCCTCCGTCCCCTGCGTCTTCGTCTCTTCCTCGCCGCCGCACTCCTGTTTCACGCCGCGCCGCTCCTCTGTTTCGAAACCGCTACAGCCACCCCGTGTTGACCGGTCCAGTGCCAGCGTGGATGAGCGCCACTCGCCCGCGCGAGGCCACCGCTTCTCCCGCCGCAGCCCAGCTCCCTCGCGCGCATCTAGCCCTCCTCATCCCGCCCGTTTTAGCCCAATGTGAGCCGCTTCCCCCTAGCCCAGTTCAACTCAATTTCAGTCCACCATGTGTTTTTTTCCTGCCTGCGATTTTATCAATTGTTCAGAAGACTGCATGTTTATAGTTTGCCCCCTGTTGTTCATGCATATCATATCTCACTAACCGTGCATCGAATTTAAACAAACTTAATATGTAAAATGCTTAGAATTTTGTGTAGTTTCATAATATGCCTTTTTCATCCATGTTTAAAATGTTAAACTTGTTATTTGCATTAATTTTTCATATTGCCATGATAAAATGTTTTACTTCATAACTTAATAACTGTAGCTCCAAGTTTAATAAACTTTATATTAAATGGGGTAGAAAAATGCATAATTTAACACGGTGTATTTGCTTTGCGTGTTTAACAACTCTAAAATTATGTTTAGGGCAGAACAGGACCAAATTCATAATATTCATATGAGGACTTTTACGAACTTGTTGTTTGTTATTTCTGGCCTCATTTAAACTTGCCTAAATAGGTAGTTTTATTATGCTTCACCTCTTGCCATGTTTAATAAAATTTAATATTGTTGGATACATAAACGAGAGTGAACTAAATGATTGAATGTGGTGTTTCGTCAATATGCAACTCGTTGCATATTGAGCTCCACTTAATTTGTAGTATTATTTGTGCACTTTGCCATGCCATGCCTTATTAAACTGGACATGCATCACACATGAACATGGCATGATGCACAACCAAGTATGATGCATGTCCGGTTTAATGAAGCATGTCATGGC